TTTCTTGAATATTTCCCAAATCCTCCTTGTCTCCTTCCCTATTGGCTACCTTTCTACCAAACTCTAACCCACCAAATAAATTTCCAATCACTCTCTCCTTCTCAAGCCCTGATAAGCTAAGATACAGAAAACTTCATTGGAGCGGAACATGGTTTATGTCCCTTTGATTTCCATTAAACTGATTTACTCACTAAGGGATTGACTTTTGGCTTTGTTCTATTGGCGAGACAACCGTGAAATCAATTACAAACTGAATAGAAAAGCTTAAATCAATTAAGGCATGGAACTTACCCAGTTGATGCCAGATTCGGTGAAGATGGTGTAATTGCAACGAACTCTCGAACTCTCTTCTCATCTGCCCAAGTCTTCTTTTTAATTGATTTTTAGAGTAGACACTTCGATACTTAAGTCAACAATAATCAGACTTACTAAGAAAAAAACAAACGATCTCGGACTAACATCACAAATGGCAGAGTTGCAAATTAGTTCGCTAAATGGGTACACTGAATAGAGAACATAGAAGAAAAATGCAAAGAAAATGAATTAGGGATGATGATGCAGAAATCTTTAAAAAATAGAGAATTGCTTTTGTTATTATATAAAAATGGAAACCAGCGTAGGGCGTGACAAGCCACGTAATTCACAATTTATATATAGCTGCATATATCATTTTTCATATGTCAGACTTAGATATAAAAAATAGTTCTTTCAAAATTTTAATAAGCAAAGTAGCAAACGCTGAATGGATTATGAAAAATAACCTACACAATTAAAAAAATAATATATTCCCAGGTGATTAAGATAAATAATAATAAACTATATAATAAAACAGTGATAAACATATACTACAATTAAATATTTAAGAGTTTTTAAATATTTAAAACTTTGATCTTTCATGTTAAATTAATATTGTCTCTTTATTTACTACATTTATTCATAAATTATTTTTATCATTTATAATTTTTATTTATTTGTCTAATCTTCATCTACCACTTTTATTATTCATTATAATTTTTATTTATTTTTATCATTTATTTATAATTTTTATATATTTTGTATGTTTTCTTTCAATATGTTAAATTAATATAATATTATATTTTAAGTAAATACATATCTTATTTAATGTATGAGGTAACATTATATATATATATATTAATGAAAATCAATGCTCACAAGATGACAAGAACACCACCTCCTCCATTCAGTTCCAGTTGAATGAGGTCATAAAAAAATTATAAATATAAACTGTTATATGACGTTTGTGGCCCAACAGTCTGTACTTTAGTTTGGGCTGGCCTGTTGTGGCTGGGTCAATTATCGAATCCAAATATGGTCCATTAATTGAAATGGACTTTTGTTATCAGTTGAATTAACAAAAGTCCTATATAGTGACCATTTAAAAAAAAAATTGCACAACAAAAATCAATTATTTTTTTTTTAATCCTTTTAGCCATTTCACTCGTATATTTATGATTTGAATCTAAAATCTCTTATTCTAGTTAGGGGAGAGAGAACCATTGGGCTGAGCTGAGGAAGTTTAGAGGTGAAATTCCCACTTTCTTGATAGCAAAGAATCTTAATGAAAATGATAGATACCAATCCATTAATTTTCCTCCTCCTTTTTGTTTTATGGTTATTCCATTCCATCCTTTATCCATCTCTTTTCCTCCTTTATCTATTTCAGTGCCCTTATTTTCTAAAAGCATCACTTTATACATAGGCCCACACCAAGTTAAACTTTACTATTGAAAGTTAGGTTACCTATGTATACATATATATGATGCAATTTGCCATCATTAATGATTCAAGGGTTTAATAGTAAAAGATAGGTATTATTTTTCAAATAAATTCCTACCTTTTTGTAATTATAAGATGTACCAAATGATTGATCGGTGACTAGATGGATATGTACCATTCAAAAAAGGAAAAAAATGCATGGATACATGCAAAGGGCAATGAATCTGATTCCACAAGGCCATGCTGAGAGCTGCGGTGCGCAATATTTTAGAGGTCCCCAAGACTAGGTATGAAAAGAGAAACCAATGAAGAAATGGAAAAAAATTTCATCAAAGGAATATTTTAGAATAAAAAAGGAAAAGAAAATATTCTGTGCACCTAATTAAAGAGACCTTTGTCGGTCAAATACCTCGTCTCACTTTCGAGGTGAAACACAAAAACTATAAAAGTAAAATATGTACCACGGTCAATCTAAAATTTGATTTATTGATAAAAAAATTATGTTTTAATTTTTTTATGTTAATTTAATATTTAAAATTTGACCTTAATGTATAAAAAAATTAAGTATATTAAATTAATATTAGGGCATGCTATTAATATTGTCCTCAAAAAAAAAAAAATTATAACTACATTACTTGTGTTATTGTTAAAAGAGGTTTGCATACAAAATTATGCTAATTTTTTTATTTTTTAATTTTTAAAATTTAATTCAAACTGCACACAATCAGAAGCACCTACTTATATGCCATCGACTAAATCTATAATCTCTAATTACTTATAGATTAACCAAATGAGCCACTTAAATTAATTAGCTTTTTTTAAAATATATATATATATATTATTCTCACCTAGTCTCTATATTTAAAAATTTGAGACAGATAATTAACTAATGGCCTTAAAGCTATCTCATCAAATTGGTAAGAGTTGGAGACTAATTAATCTCAAACGGAAAGAAATTTGAGAAATGGAGTTAATATTTGAAGTAAAAAGTGAGAAAACAACAAAAATGAGATGCAGTTAGAGGAAAAGATAAAATCAAACAGAAGGTTGCCAAATGCCAATTTAGCAGCTGCATGGGAAGCCATGCGTCTCCAAGTTGTGGCGGTCCTGATAATGCTCATAAAAACAAGTATAATTACTCAACCGACAAAACACAAAGAAATCATCACAACATACAGTCAATAGTTTCAAACAAAAGTTGTTACTAATTAGAAGAACGTGTCTCTCTGTGTCTGAACTTTTCTTTTGATGATCATCTTAATTAATTACTACAGTACAGAGAAATTAAGAGACAACATTAAAAAGAATATATATGAAAGTTAACAAAATTGAAGGAGCTCGATTATTTCTTAAGAAAAATTTCGAGTTTAAGTTTTACGAATGAAAAAAGAGATGTTGAGAGAATTTTTTAATGTAAGGTCTAACCCAACTTAATTCCGAATTAATCAGGCGTCAATATGATTTCTGAATATTGAATAATACTAAAAGATTAATATAAAAAAAAGTTAACAAAATTGAAACAGAACATGCAAAAGAAGGGAGAAATTAAAGGCTTCTAGTTTAAAGCCTTAATTACATTGATCTACGTAGTTAATTGACATTTCATATGTCAACTTTACAAGGAGGAGCGTCAAGCAAGGGCGCCTGCCCTACCAAACCCTTCTTCAAACCCACCATGACATTACATCTCACATATACCGCATACTTGGCCGTCCTTATTGCTCCCGCCTTCCATCTCAAACTTCCGATTAATACTACTTTCAACGCCACCACTCCGTAGGACTCATCCATCCCCAGCCCGTTCACCACCTCCGCCGACACTGGCACTCGGAAGCCACCTAAGACCGGTGACAGCGCCACCGTGCTCTTTGTTTCTTGGAAGAGCGGTGGCAAGTCCACCGGTAGGGTTATCTGCTGGTTCCTGTTGGAAACGTAGGCGGTTAGCCTGTCGTAGAAGATGGAGACTCTTTTGTTGGGGTTTCGGGTGAGGATGGTGAACTGCATGGAGGTGGAGACGAAAGGTGGGGAGGAGATGTTGAGGTCGTAGATGGCGGCCCCAACCACGTTGAACCGAGGCTTGTAGGGACGGTAAATGAGCCAGATAGTCAGGACGGTGATTCCAGCCAAGAGAAGGAAGACGGTAGTGCATGAGCAGAGGGTACGGCGGGCGTTTCCTGTGGCAGGGGTGGACGCCATGTGTTTTGGAATTGGTTTACCTTGGGTCATTGTAGGTCGAGGTTGCGGAGGTGGGTCTTGTGGGTTCTCTTCTGCCATAGAAAAAGAGATATATACCGATGGTGTACGAGTGAGTGGGAGCTGACGGTGAGGGAGTGAATAGCGTTGTATATGTGAGAAAAATAATGGAGGACAGAAGAACTAATATAAGAGGGAAGGAGGTTTAAGTCACTTGGAAACTAGCAATCCCCCATCCACGTGGGCCGGAACTGGCGACGCTGCCCGTTAGGTAGCGGATAATTCATAAAACGCACCCAATTTCAAAGTTTGATTATCTCTAACAGTAATAAAATTAACATTTAATTTAATAATTTTTTTTCATTAAAAAAAAAAAAAGTTAGTTGGAAACTAAAGTGGGTCCTTTCCTTGTATTTTATATTATTTTTTTGGGTTATTGAGATAAATTTTTTATATTATTTTTTGATATAATTTTTATATATTATTAAATAAATA